CTCCATAATAAGTAAGCAAAATAATCCTGCTAATATTGACTGAGTAATGAAGGGACATGGACACTATGACAGGGTCTTAATAATGAATTCAAGTGTAAGAGCTTAGTTCACTTACGACGTTACGGGAACTGTTGATGATGATAAATAAATTTTGTGGTGGAGGTGGAAGCATAATGTTGTCGTACAAATAATGTGTAGTCATGGAAAATTAGTTTAGTGTACTGGTTCATACGAAATTCACTTGTATTATTAGTAACTAATTAGTTCTGCCAATCATTAGCAACGTTAATAATAAAAAACTTGACGGACAATAAAGTATAAGTTCATATAAGCCTAAAGATAACATTTCTTTGTCTTAACTTGAACTTATAGGTAAATATGTGATAAAAAATATTGTTTGTTAATATAACTATACCTACTAGTATATGTATATGGACCTAGTACCTAGTATATATAAATATAAATTCACCGAAACTATTTCTAATAATATTTTGTTCTCTTTAAGTTGCTACAAATAGTTTCTAACGTAACTACTTTCAAACATATATTTACTTTTATTTATTACTTAAAATTACTTAAATTTTAAATTCACTTCAAATGTTAAATTTAAAATTAAACAAAATTTGAAATTTTTTAAAATTTAATTTATCAAAACAACAGGAAATTATTGCTCCTCCGAATGTCACTGAATTTATCAAAGGCAATAAAATAATTAAAAAGGAGCAATTTAGTGGGCATGTCCTTCCTAACAGGCAGGCACACATTAAGCGCAAAAGTTTGACATTGTTCCTGCACTCCCCCTGAGTGAAAATGTGCCAGAAATACCATTAAAAATCAATGATTAAAGATTTATGGATTTAACGAAGTGTGAATTATGTTTCGCATGCGAACACACCTCCTGCACATTCGTCACAGGCAGGCATCCAAAAATGATGCGAATTTCCATCTCAGTGAAAATATTCGACGTTGAGATTTAAGCTTTAATGGCAAACCAACATTGACTTTGCGTAAAGTAATTTTTCACGTCCTGAACTGCAGAAGAAGCAAAATCAAAGCGTAAACATACGCCATTTGCTTGTAATCATAATTTGTCGCGAATCCTCAAATGAGGAATCAGCAAATGAGGAAAAACATAAATAAAAATTTCAATAAAAAAAAATATAGAGAAAAAATGAAAACATGTCACTCATTCAGACTTTGAACGTATGGCAATTGTCTGTCTGTCAGCCTAGTAATCTGACAAGCTGCCTATCTACCTTCGTGCTCGCTGCACCACATTCCTTTGGAGGTCTTTCTCATTAAGCTAACATTTCGAAAGGCAAAAGTCGATTTCCACTCGCAAGTGTATTTTACTTTAGCTCAGTGTAAGAATTACGACAACTTTTAATTCAAATATTCAATGAAAATTTTTTGGACATCCCTACGTTCGTTGTGGTTCACACTGAGTTCATCAGTACACTGACTTCATTTACGGAACTGAAAAATATTCAGAAACTATGTTATCCGCGTTCATTTTTATTCAGCAATGAACTTATCCTTTGAAATGAATAGTAACTTTTCTCATTTCGCCATAAAAAAGTTCTCTTAAGTTCAAAAGGACACTCTCGAAATTTGAAATTTCTCTAGTAAATTTACGTTCAAATCGCAAACTTGCGTTCCACAAAATCCAAAAAGCAACGTGTTGCTCGCACACTGGAACTTTTTCTGAGAAAATGACTGAGAATGAGAATTCGTAACATAAATACATTCTTCGGTTCTGTTAAGACCCCACGCAAAGCATGTATAGTCGAACATGCTCATTGCAACTTGCTAAAACTAACCACATAACCTTTATACGTTTGGTTCGATGTACAACATTTATCTTGTTGCGCTGGAACCGCACAATGAAAGATTTATGCAACAAACTCGTTCCAAAAGTTGAATCCACTTTCACTACCGAAATGATAGGAATAATTCTAACGAGGAGCGAATAACAAGCACAGGTCAAGTGCCTAAATTTCTTTTAAGAAGAGTATTTATTTCAAATCTGAACCGATTTTGGCCATCTTGAGTTGTATAGTCAACAATAGAAAGAAATTGCTAATAAAGTGAATTTAAAAAAATTATAAATCATATTTTATGATGTATACTACGAGGGTTAAATCATCGTTAATACGAAATATTCATAAACTTGAATTTCAGATTCAATTTCCTGATGAGAACAAAACAAGAAGTAAATGCAATAACATATTTTTAAGTTGGCTAATAGGTGAGTATATATCACAAACTATATTAGTGACAAAAACAAGAATTTCTTGAAAATATTTTATAAAGAGGTTTTTCGAACAGTAGTGAACTACAACAACAAAAATTTATTTTTTTATATTATTTTAATTAATTGAATTTTTGCCTGACCATACAGCTGCTTCGAGTATTGCCAAATACCCATCATCAATAGTCTTGTAAATAATTCTTGTATTTAATTATTCTTAAATAATTTTTTAAGACTGCAAGTACATACCAGGGATTGAATTTGTGTCCTGCCAAATTTGAAGCTCAGAGTCAGCGCTCCTTAACCAATTGACCCAAAGCCGTACTTGACTTTTATATTCGCACATTTTTCTGGAGTTTTGTTAATTTGCTGTAAAAGTTTATTAACAAATTCACTTACTG